AATTTTTTAATTCTCGTGGAGGTGATGTTGATGCAGCCAATGGATATGATCGAATTGAAGTTGTTGTATCATTTTGATCTCGATTTTTTGTTTCATCTTGTATCTTTTTTTAGTTTTACCAGCTGCTTGTTTAGCTTGATAGAGATCACGAACATCAGCCATTGAATCAGCTAAACCTAAATTAGAATAAATAAGTAAAAAAAAAAAACAAAAACTTATTCAAAATTAATACATAGGTTAAATCAGTGAAAACGGAACATTCATCCGTTGTATTTGAATGTAATTCTCTATCAATATAGATTTTTTTTTTAGGGAATTCTTTTTGCATAGGCTTATATAAAATTGTTTGCTCTTTTCACATGATTATTAATTAATTAAGAAGTAATTAACGTATATCTCGATAATCGAATGACAAAAAAAACTTGAAAACTTCAGAATAAGCTCTTAAGGTATGAATCGCATAGATGCTAAAATTTTCGGCGAGATCGAACTTCAAAAATTTCCTTCCAAAAAATCAACCGTTTATTTTAGTATTATTCTAGGGACTAGAGGTCCAAACAGGGCACTAGGGCTATTGCCCAACCTGATCCTGGCTTGTCTGTCATAGGCATCACCTATGGTTTTCAGACTAGTGCAAGTCAGAGGTCCAAGCAATTTTTGGCCTGTCACTAGTCTGAAAGCCATGGGTGATGCCTATGGGAGGTGGGTCAGGATCAAGTTGAGCAATAGCCCTAGTGCCTTGTTTGAACCTCTGATTTCTAGTCTGTCATCATTATTGTACTCGCTCGAAAAACTTGACAGGCCGTGCAGGGCTAAAAAGCGTGGCCTGTTTGAACCTCTGTTAGGGACTCCTACCATTGGCATGAGCCTCTTGGAATCGATTTCGAACTGTTCAGTACGTTACCAGAGCATTTTGATCGGTAGTCAAATCGTACTCAGTCACGTTGCTAACGTCGAATAAATTTTTTTTTGAAAAACTTAGACATACTCAAAATAAGTTTTACACCGGGATTTGGTAGCCTTAAGAGTCGTGTCTAGTATCACGTATTAAGTTTTCGGCAATTGTGCAACACTTGGAAATTTAAAAAATCCAAAGTATATCAAGTGACAGTTGATATGCTTTTTAGTGTCACGCCGCTAACGTTCGTTTTTTGTTCACAACTCTTCTGAGTAAAGCTGTACAGTAGATAGAAACTCGTACGACATGCAAAAATCACACCTAAACCAACTGATAATAATTCCGAGATATGCATACTCCAAGTTTACGATGTCACACCGCTAACGAATGATTTAGCGCATATGTGAATTTAATAACAAAAAAAAGAAATTTGAACAAACCTTTAGTTTCTTGAGTTCGTACACATATTAATGGATCATCTTCAATACCTAACATAACAAGCATGGATTTTTCTTTATTATTAAGTGAATTTCCAGTTGTTTTTAATGTATCATTCGATTTTTTTAATGATGTTGATTTATTTGACCATGATAATGATGAACTATTATCATTACTAGCAAGATTAGCAAATTTTTTTGGTACATATGAACCTGTACTTTGTAAATTCATTCTTGATATATTATTAATATTAAATTTATTTGTATTTTGTTGATTATTTTTATGTATTTGATGAGCATGTGTAACACAATATTCACATTCATATCGATTAATTAAATTTTTACATTGTTCACCAGATTTTGTTTTTGATTTACATTGTCCTAAATCAGGATTTGAACCAAGAATACAAATATTTCTTTCATATTTTATTGATAATTGTCCAGATTTTTTTGTATCACTATCATATATAAGTAAAACACTTGATAATGTTGTTTTCCATAATGTTTGATGTGCATCACCAAATAGAAACATATTTATTGTTGTTTTAAAATCTGTTATACGCCATATACTATATGTTGAACCATTACTTGCTTGTTTAATATCAGATTTATGTACTAATATAGCCATTGTACACCATTCAGTTGGTATTGATATTGATTGTTTATTAATTTCAAATAAACGAATAAATTTTATTGAATTTAATTTTGTTTTTATTTCATTTGGTGTATAATTAAGTGTACCTATACGAATATGTGTTGTTGGATCAATATAAATTGATGGTGTTATTGTTGATTGTATTTTTGATTCAATTGTTATTATTTTAGAAGATTTTTTTTGTAATAAACTAAAAAAAAAAAAAACAAAGTTTTAAATTTAAGAATAATATTATATTTGTAAAATTATGTTAATATTTCTATATGAAAGATTTTTTTTCATTCAATTTTTGTTATAAAATAAAAGATTTTTATTTGATAATATTGTACTTAAGCTTGAAATTTTCTTTTAATATGAACTAAATATATATTCTCTGAATATATTCAAATTGATTATCATTTTGAGAAATATTTTTATTTATATTAAAACATAATTTAATTTATTTAGATAGTTAAAAGATTATGTTAGATATTTTTTTCATTTTTTATAGAAAATTGAATGAAAAATTTACAATCAAAATAATGAGATCATCATTTATTCTGTTACATCTATTATAAGCTCGGTTGTGTGTATTACAGGGTGTCCCAAAAGTCCGTCGGAAAAGTTAATTCAAATATC